AAACGAGGAGTTGAGAGGATAGGAATGGGTTAAAGGGTGTGATTTACTCTCTGCTAAACACCCGAGTTCCTGGAGCTTTGGGAAGGAAAATAATTGACGTTGTCAAGAACAGATCCTGCTGGGATCCCAGCCTGGCTTGGCCTCTGCTCCAAGACTGATCCATCCCTGTGGCACCAATCCCTCTTGTCCCTCTTGTCCCTCTTGTCCCTTTCCCTGCACAGAAGGACCAGAAGGGGGAGAAGCAGCTCAGTCCAAGCCTGGCAGATCCCTGGATTCCCTCAGGACATGAAATCCATGCTCAATTCCAAGCCCACCATGCAGGAACCCCAAGCGAGGCTTCCCCACCTCCTCTCCAGCTGCCCTGGGCACAAATTCACTGTCCAAGGAGCAGCCAGGTGTGCTGGCACTCCCTGCTCAGAGAGAGAGAAGCTAGATTAATTATCCCAGAATTGGCCTGGGAAGTTTTGGGGAGCTGGAGGTAAAGCCAATTATTAAAAACAACCTGGAGGAGCTGTTTTGCTAATATCTGTTTTCTTGTTATTCTCATAAGATTGTTTAATAAATGGGGGTCTTGTTAATTAGCCAATGGCGATGGTGTTTTAATTAGAGGACCAATCAGGTCTACCTGTAGGGTACAAAAAAGTATAAAAAGGGTATAGAAAGGGTATAAAAAGGGTATAGAAAGGGTATAAAAAGGGTATAAAAAGGGTATAAAAAGCGTATAAAAAGTAATGGGTTTCTTAAAAAATTGAATTACCCTTCTGTGAATGCCTTGGGGGTCTGTCACTTATTAGGCAGGATGTGGTGCTGCCCCGTATTCCCAGCCCTGCTGAGAATTCCTCCAAGGAATGCTCCTCCACAGCCCCAGGAGCAGGCTGGGAGAGCACCGGGCACCTCCCTGTGCCAGGGAACATCTTCCCAGGGAGACAAGGCTGGGAAAAAGGGCAGCAGTCCCACGTTTGCTGGGATTTCTGCCTGAAAGGACGTCGAGGAACTTATTTTAAGCACTTTAAGGTCACGGTGACATTTTTCCACGGGAGCAGAGAAGAGAACAACCTGCAGGTGGAGGAGGGGAAGGAAGAGGGAAATGAGAGTTCCCATTGAAAATCCTGTCCCAACTCTCGGCCTTTGGAGAGCCAGGGGAGGTCAGGGGAGGTCAGAGCCTGAGCTGCACAAAAGGACCAGGCTGGGGACCTCTCTGGAGTGGAGACGAGCAAAGCTGAGCCGGCCACACACCGGCTTCAATCAGGCCAGACACAGAGCCCGTCCAGCCCCGGGGCCGCCACGCTCGGACACCTCCCCAGAGCGGAGATTTTCCTCCCCTGGGACGAGATGGAGATTTTCCTGCCCTGAGATGAAACGGCAGGAAGATGCAATGACCTTTAACTCCTTCCCCACGGCGGCCGGGCCAAGTGGCACATTCTGCTCCTGCGGGGCCGGGGCTGGGAAAGCAGGATGCTCCGGGAGCCCTCAGCGTAACCTCGGAGCTGGGAAATCCTGCTGCTTTTGTTCCTCGACGTGGCACAATATCCTCTGCCTCCTCGGGCTGGGAGGAGCTGCCTGTGCCTCGGGAGAGGCTCCAGGGCTTGGTCCTCTCGGAGGAGCGTGGCCAGCACTGCCCGAATGTCCCCGTGTCCCCTCCGAGGGCTGCTGAGCTCCACAATCCATCACTTCAACCTGGGGCTCCACACAGCTGCCTGCTCCTCTCCCAGTCCTCTGTAAAACTCCTTCCCAAGGTTCCAATCTCCCCCCCAAAGACACACAAGTTTCAATTTTTGCTCCCCCCAGTATAATTTTGCCCTCTGAATTTTGCCATTTTCTGGATAGACAGGAAAAAATACCTTCATCTACAAGAGAGTTTTCTGTAATAGGAAATGGATCTCCATGATCCTTGTGGGTCCCTTCCAGCTCTGGATATTCTGAATAAATTTATGCTGGTTGATGCAACATAAAACGTATTTATCACCTGCACACCTGTCCTGGGACAGGTCTGGGGTTTGGGATGCTCCTGGATCCAGCCAAAGCCACCCCAGAGGAGCCGAGGCCTTGGCCATGGCCCAGCCCAGTGCTCTGCTTGCACTCCAACCCCGGAGTTATTTACTCCAACCTCTCCAAAATCAATCACAAGACTCAGCACTGATTGTCCCAGGGTTGGGAGGGAGAAATCCCTGTCCCTGCAGCGTGACTGCAGCAGCCCTGCAGCCTCCCCGTGTCCCTTGGAGGATGGGGACAGGGCAGTCCTGCTCAGGAGACGGTGCCACCCGTGACATTCCCGTCCCTGCAGGCAGCAGGAGCAGGACAGAGCCCCAAAGCAGAGCAGTGAGAGCCCCGGGCTGTCCCCAAA